TATTATAGTTATTTTGTTTTTTGTCTTTTTTTCAAATTTTTATTGATAAAACTATTAAATAGTTTTCAGAAACCATTTTTATAGTTTGCCGGTCAGTTTTTCCGGGGTCTGTCTATTCGTGTCCCGACAATAAAATTAATATTTTTATATTATTATTATTATTATTATTCCAATATAAAAACAGAAAAATACAATTAAATTGTATTTTATTTTTATAAGTAATAAGGGAATATAGCACAACGGTAGTGCAACTGTATTATGAATGGAAATTAAAATAGTTCTGTAGACTGTGGGTTCGACTCCCACATTCCCACTTTTTTAATATATTTATTTTTCTGTTTGTTTCTGGTGTCATTTGTAATGCGATTTTAATAGACATTTAAAACTATTTATAGTAATATAATAATAAAAAAAAATTTACTTGTGAAATGATTCAGTTTTTTTTATATAAGAAATATTGCAATTAATCGAAATATGACATTTCAAATGTCTAATGGTTTTTTAAATTTGATTAATAATATTAATTAGTAAATGAATCATAAATTTAAAAAACACTTTGAAACATTTTAAATTACAACAGTTACTTTAAACACTTTTATTCGGTATTATTTAAAAATACAATCTAAATTTATTATAATTAATATTCACAATGATATTCCTTCTTTTCTTCATTAATTTTCTCTCCATTTCCCAATCAAAAACCATCAAAATCAGTTTAAATGGTCCTGTTACATCACTGAAAATAGCTGGGGAATTATCCGTTCCTGGCGACACAATAGAATATGAATCTGGAACATATCCCATGCAGTGGTTAACTGCCGGTGTTAATGGCACACACGACAAACCATTAACAATAAGAGCTGCTCTTAATTCAAAAGTGATTTTTGATGCTTCTGGTAAAGCATATGCCTTTCATTTAGAGAACTCATCCAACATCGAAGTAGTTGGACCTTTTACAGCGAGAAGTGCTTCATATCTCACAGTATCTGCAGTGAACTGCACGAACATCACACTTTCTAATTTCAAAGTATATAACTCGACTATGTGGGCTATTTTAGTCACTGGATTTAACATATTAGTCAAAGACAATTATGCACAGGACTGTGTTCTACGTAACGAGAATTGTAAGAGTACAACTGGATGGGAGCAATGTGTGGCGACTTCTGCAGTATCACAATACATCCCCATTTTATCCGAGAACATCACTTTTGATCACAATGAAGTGTACCACTCATGGGGTGAAGGCATAGACATCATTTTATGTACAAACTGTGTGATAAAAAATAATTACGTGCACGACACCACTTCACAACTTTTTTATACAGACAACTCTCATAACATTTTAATAGAAAATAACGTTTTCAGACTGACAAATGGAACGTTAAAGGGGTGTAAAGGGGACACCAATGCGATATCAATTGGTGATGAAAATTGGGCAATAAAACCCATTTCAGTGGTGAACATCACAATTAAAAACAATTTCATATGGGGGTGTTCCAATGGAGTGAGTTATTGGGGATCAAATTCCGTCGCGTATTATAGTAACATCACAGTCATTTTTAACACATTTTGGAAGATAGAAAAGGCCGCTTTACAGTTCACAAACGACTGTGTAGTTAAGAACAAGTCCTTCTTCAATCAGTTCAAAAACAACTTTGTGTACTCCCCACAGGAATATTACTCTGCCGCAGTGAACCCAAATTACTTAGATCAATGGAATGTGTCTGCCAATATCTATTATGGTGTTAATAGAATCAATTTAAAGGATAACTGGAATGGAACTGATGGAAATTGTCACTCAATTTATGTACCTTTAGATGCACAAAGACCCGAATATTTCTTTGGGAAGGGATTCTTTGGAAATTGTTCAAATGAAAGGTACTGGGAACCACATGTAGAAACTTACTGTTTTGTACCTAAAAAAGAGTCGGTGCTGTACCATAAAGGAGTGGATGCTACATACTTTGAAGTGATCGGAAAACACCAAGAAGACTATTATGGATGCGTGAGAAGTAGAGTCAAACCAAGTATCGGATTTTCTGAAGGTGAATATATGTGTAATTTTGATGGTACTATGATAAACAGTGTTGTTGTTATATTGATAACTATACTCTGCGTGTTGTGATATTCAATTGACTTTTTAATTGTAAATTTCATGTTTTGAACTACAATTGACGAAATAATAGTCAGAGACCAAATAATTGAAAGAAGTAAATTTAATAGTTTTTAAACATTAGATAAGAACTATGATAAAAATATATTACAGTGTCTTACCATTTTTTGGTGTACCTTTTTTCACTTTATTAAACCCGTTATTTCCAATGTAATGTTTATTTGGTTTCAAAAATTTCTGGATTCATTAATAATTAAACATAATTTTATTAACTGTGGTTTTTACACAAATTTGTTTTTTTTGCTGCAAATATTAACATATTACAAATTATTAACTACAGACCACAGAAAAACTGACCAGCTAACTATAAAAATGGTTTCTGAAAACTATTTAATAGTTTTATCAATAAAAATTTTGAAAAAAAGACAAAAAACAAAAAAACTATAATATATTATAAATTATTCTATGCCGGTCGGTTTTTTGTAATATAACAGTTTGTGACAAAAATCAAAATGTTCAATTTGGAAAATGTCAAAGTTTTTCAAATAAAAATATAAAAAGAATCAAGGTTTGACTTATTTAAATTGATATTATTTTAAATGAAAAATTGTTGTTTTTACAATAAATTGAAACAGAATAATATATAATTTGATGGCACTTTGTACAACCAATGTTATAAGAACTGTTTAATCTTATATTTAATTATTCATATTATGAAATAAAAACAAATTCACTTACAAATCAATAAAAACCGTTTCAAGTTTATGTTGTATGTCATTAATTTCATTTCTTAATTTAGTATCACCACACCACGATTCACTAATAATCAAGTACAAGTCTTCTCGCATATCTTTTGGACGTTCCAGTCTCTCTCCACTCACAATGAAATTAGCGATATCCCAAGAATGTTCAAATACATTAATTGGGTATGGTTCTTTCCATTTAAACGTTTGGTACATCGTCACTGCAAATGAATAGACATCAGCCGGTTTTTTATATTTTTCTCTTCTTAATATTTCCGGTGCCATGTAGACTGGAGTTCCTATACCCTTTGTGACAGTCATGTTTGTCATCAGTAAATTAATGTTTCTACTCGACCCAAAATCAGTCAATTTTGCATTCACAAGGTCATTCAATTCAATTGAAAACACAAGGAAATTATCTGGTTTGATGTCTCTGTGTAAGATCCCATTTTCATGTAAATAAGTGATTCCTTTTGATCCATCAATCATCATTTTAACACGTAATTTTAATCCAATTTCATCAGACTTTTTGTGATTTATCAAGTCTTGTAACGACCCAAATTCA